TTCTCTCGGCGCGGGGGCTCGTTCCGATGCCCACACAGTAAAAAAATGCCAATGTCGTCATTGGCAGTGAATTAGTTAATATCAGCCCGATTTTATTAATCGAACCAGTACCGATATGCTAAAAAATTACTAACATCTGCTTATACCGATATTAATGCTGATATATTGTCTATCCCTAGTGCCAGTGAATGTTGCTTTAATATCTGCACATTGTAAGGAAAAAAATTGTAAAAAAGCCTGAATTTCATAAGCAAGCACGCCTAACGTGGCAGGTTCAACTTAAAGTAACAATAGATAGTTTATTTATTTATTTATTTTTCACTGTGAGCTAGAGCATTAACATTGATCTCAGTGATTGTTGGGTTAGAAAGTTGACCGGTTTCATATGTATCACCATTCTGCAGCCCTCTGCTGACCAAAAACCACACTAAATCATTTTGTGGAGTGGGTAGGTGTTCTAGGGGGAGCTCTTTACCTGCTTTATGGCTGTTAGCTGTAATGCTCGCTGTTAGCATGTTCAGTTTGCTGATAATCAATTAAAAGCACAAGAAGAAAAAAGAAAAAAGTTTGCTTTTTCTTCTGGCATCACAGTGGAGCCTGGAAATAAAAGTACAAGAGTAACGTCTTTGGAGGCGAAGCAAAGAGCTTAAACCATCGGCGCAGCCTACATTAGTTTGAGGGAACTAAAGGAGGCTACAAAATCACGGACTGATAGTGACCTGGCTTTGTTGTTGGATTTGTAAGTGATAATATTTTTTGTCCAACAGCGTGGAACTTTTTACTTAGTGGTTTTATTTTAGTATTAGTTGGCTCGTGTTAGCGTTAGCTCGTTGTTTGCACTAGCTACAGCAGGCTGCAGCACGGTTGTTTGCAACTGTTGTACTTCCACTCTCAACCAGTAGGGTAGAGGAGCGGGAAACTGCTCTGTGTTACTTAAATAACATCTAACAGCTACCCAAAGGTGTTACACCAACACTGGCAAGTGTTTGTATTCTTTATTGCTTATTTTTTTTCCAACAAATCTTTTGTTATACACCCTAAAATGCCTGTATATGTTTACATATAAACATATATTTGGTATATAAAGGTTAAAAAGTTGCATTTTAGTTTAATTTTAACAGTACCGAAGACATTTAAAGCCTGTGTTTGCCATTGCACCTTTGCATTTACTGCATGACTGTCTCACACAGTTAAAAACATAGTTGCTATCGATTAAGACGTCACAGGATGATTAGTGCCGTCTCCCCAGCTTCAGGCTCGTATAACAGCATTTTAAATGACACTCTGTCCCATCTGCTGCTGTAATCGCACTAAAAAGTCCTGCAGTATCTCCTCATCCTTGGCGGCAGTGGGAATGGTTCTCCCTGTATTCATGGCAGATCAGTCTCAGTCACTGACCTGAGTAATGGCCATCCTCAGTACTGTATTGTCCTCTAGCGTGTTGCCGTGGTGACAGAAGGAGAGGGTATCGGCATGCCAAAGAAAAGCTTCTGAGCTGAGTTGAAGAGTCGCAGCATCCCTGACCTTTCTGTCAGCGCTGCTCACTGTGGAGCCATTCATAGACCTGGAGGCGGCGAAACGTGTTCTGAGAGACGCGTGCCGGTGGTAAAAGAGGATGTGGGTTTTCATGTTGTTGTTAAACGTCTCACCTCGTGTCCCTTTAACTGCTTCTCTCAGCGAGCTTTAAGATTCTGCATCTTTTTTGAGCTCAGTAGCATCCCGTGCTTCCGGGATCAAATCCAAATCGGTTTTGCTGCCTTTCAAGTCCGATATCTCTGTACTGCAGTCAAACCCTGCTTCCCTGTACTCTGAACTTTACTTCCAGCTCTGCAGCTTGTTATCATCTGATTCTCCTCAGAATACACAATGATAGAGTGACCTGCATCCTCAATGGTTTGTCTAATGTCACTGTGCCTCTGCTGACCTCATCTGCATTAAACAACAGTCTCAAGAACCTCCTCACGTACTGTGCTGTTCGGATTTCCCTGGGATGTTGCTCCTGTCGAAAACACTGATCTGCATATTTTAACAGCTTTTTTTTACACTTCTATCTAAAAGTACTGCTTTAACTAAAATGACATGTATTTGCAACCTTATTTCAGCTTGTTGTGAGTGTTTTTGTGTACATTCAGGAAAAATATTCTACTTAAACAACCTAGCTCATGATCTACTCACCCTCTTCCCCTCAGGCAGAATGTCGAGCTGCCTTAAAAGGAATCTAGAATTCAAAACCGCGTTTGCTTTGTTGTTGCTGAATGCAGCTTGAGATGTCAAATGTACCAAACCAGAAAGTCTGTACCGTCTCTGACCTGCTTTCCCATGCAGATTAATAATGCTTAATGGCCACAGAGAAATGTTTCATCCTGAGCAAAGCTTCAATATCACGGGGGCGTCGGGGCAGTTCTGCTGAATTGGCAGACCGGGGTGAAAAGGAGGACCACCGGATGTGTTCTAATTACAGGGGATTACACTCCTGAGCCTCCCTAAGGTCTGATCAGGGGTTCTGGAGAGGAGGGTCGTCGAATAGTCGAACCTTGGATCCATGAGAGGCAATGTGGTTTTCGTCCTGGCCGTGGAACACTGGACCAGCTCTGCACCCTTAAGGGGGGCCCTGGAGGGTGTGTGGGATCTACATGTGTTTTGTGGATTTGGAGAAGATGTTTGATCGCGTCCCTCGAGTGGCCCTGCGGGGTGTGGGGTACCAGGCCCGTTCATACTGACTGTTGGGTTCTTATATGACCGGAGTCATGACTTTGGTCATGTTGAGGGGATCCGTTTTGGTGGCTTGAGGATCGGGTCTCTGCTTTTGGCCGATGATGTGGTCCTGTTGGCTTCATCAGAACGCGATCTCTGGCTTTTGCTGGAGCGGTTCGTAGCCGGGTGTGAAGCGGCTGGGATGAGAATCAGCTCCTCTAAATCTGAGACCATGGACTTGATCCGGAAATCAGTAGAGTATCTTTTCCGGTCAGCGACGAGGGGTTGTGCCTGGCCAATTACCAGGGCTCCTGGGCCATTTAGAGCCCCAACAAAGTTTCACATGCTAAGTAGATGCTCATAAAATACTTTCCTGTAATTAAAACGCATCCTAGAAGAATTTTAAAGCCTAAACAACCAAACTGAGGAATAACTTCTCCCCAGAGGCTGTGAGTTTCATGAACTCTGACCCCTTAAGCTCCACCCTTTTCATTAGAATATTAATTCAGGTCTTAATTAAAGACTTGAGATTATTTATTTGTATGGGCTTACCTGTGTAAGACAATTAGTTCTCCTGTGTGTTCTGTTGAATCAGACGCTCTTCCTCACTAATAACAAAGACTGTTTAGCCAACCCTTCTTTCACAGGTAAATAAACACACATAATCCCTGATTTAGTAGCTTTAGATAAACACCACCCGATGTAAAAGGTTTCATGTATTTTCATGTATTTTATAGGTAGTCATCACACTACTCTGAGTACAGTAGATGTTGGTTAATAGAGTCAAACCTGTTATTTCATCTCTGTACCGTAAAGGAAAAATTAGTTTAATATTTAAACTGAGCCGGTAATCAAGCTTCCAGCTGTTCCAGGGTTGTTGTGTTTATATGAAGATGATGTGAAATTCAGCCACAAAGTCGTGTTTTAGTCAGAATGACAGAAATCAAAGACAGAGTTGGTGTCGTAAATGTTTTCCTGCTCTTTTACATCGATAGAGTCAAGAGTTATGTTGTTTTATCTCTCATTATTGGGTTTTTTATTCCTGTAATGCAAACAACAACAAAAGCAAAGTATTCTACCCCCTGAAGGAAAGATGGAAAAAAGAAGTTGACAGCCTTGCTTTGTACTGCTAAACCCTCCTGGCTCTAGTCAGGAAAGCCCCCTTTATCTTTTCTCTCTGAGAAAAACAGTCCTTATTTTCCTCCCGTCTTTGTGTCTCAACATCCCTGGGTTTAATGTGTAATCCCTCCTTCAGAGGCAGAGCGGATGCACGGATTCCACCGGGGATGCGGCAGCTGCAACTTCCTCTTTCTGCACATTAGACTCACAAATCGACCGGCGAACAGTCTCTGAGGCCTCGTGTGGGAGGCAGAAACACAAAACGAAGAAAAACAGTCGCATTTTCACAAGCAAAACCGTGAAGCGCCACTCGGCGCATCGGGACCGGAGACTTTTATAAAGGACAAGTCTTCATTTTAGCTCATTTTTCTATATTCTTGAAGAAAAACGACTAAAAAAACAACCTTTTGTTTTAAAATATGATGCAAAAATGCTCGTGCATCATCCCTAACTAATCCACTTGTTCTCTTTAAAAACCAAGAAAAGCAGCGTTTCCTAGACGCTTCTGACTTTTCTCTTTAAAAAATATTGAAATATTGTTTATGATTTAAAGGTGAGAAAGCTTAAATAATAACCAAACTGTCAAAGTGAGAAATTACCTCGGGGCCCTCGGCGATCCGTTTGCTTTCATGCAAAGTCCAGAGTAAATTTGCCGACTGGCACAGGCGGACTCGAAGCAAACACGGCGAGGAGAATTCCTCCAGTAAATGAGCACAGATTAAAAACAAAACACACAAATTAATTGAGTTAATATAAACAGAGCTGTGATTCTGGGTCTTTGTTTGGCCAAAACTAACAGAAATGTTTTTCTTTGATTTTTACAAAAGGAAACCAGCTCATTTAGAAGCTGATTTATTAAACAAATTCTTAAAAATCTCGGTTGCAGCGTTTTGGTGAAATTCAATTCAAATTCTCTGCATAATCAATCAAATTTAAATTATTTAAAACAACCTAAAAAGACAAAAGCCAGGAATTTTTAAGATAAAAAAGCTTCGTTTTTGTATGTTTGACAGATGTGTTTGCTTTCTCTGACCATAATCTCTGGGATTATGCTCGTTTCATTTGGGAAATGTTTACATTTATCCTCCTCAGAGCGCCAAAAGGGTCATTCTGTGTGCTGGTTCTGAAAATGTTCTGATTTAGGAGTCAAACCAGCTAATCTCTGGATTTTCCTTCATCTCTGGCAGAGTACGTCGAGAGCATCGGAGACGGGAAGAGCGACGAGTTCAAAGAGGCGGAGAGGAAGAGGATCATGGAGCTCGTCGACAACTTCTAATCTTGTTTTTTCTTTTTCTCCCTTTTTCGTTGTCGTGCACACCAAACCTCACCAGAACAGTTTCACGTGTGAACCGCCAACGTCTCGGCTCGACTGCTGCAAAGCTTTTTTAGCCTGTTTTTATCATTTAAAAGAATCTAGGTTGGCGTTATCACCACAGAGGGTTCATGCCTAGTCAACAGAAATAATAGTTTTATTTAATGAAAGCATTCTGGTGAAGTGGAGGCGTGCCTGAGAGCTGGGATATTCTCTGCAGAAATGTAAATGTTCTGTTTCTCCCTTTTTGTTGAGTTAATTTAGCTGTAAGATATTTTCTATTAAAGCCTTTGCTATTAAAAGCCCTGATTCTGTTTGTTTCATTAATGTCACGGTTTACAGAGCGAGACTCGCGCAGCATCCTGATGACTCCGTGCTCATGAATCTCATCACACTTGATCACCGCTGCACAGATGCAGCGATGGAGACGGCGGGGCGCATTAACGGCAGACCTGCTTCTGCTCCGCTCATCTGAACCCGCCCACGGACGGATCCCGGCAGCCTTCCCGGCGCTCCCTCGCCCCACAGCGGCTTTTCTGTTGTGGTTCTGCTCACATCAGTGTGGAGGTGTGTTACAGCACAGCTGTGTCCACTGTTATTCCCTCTGTCTGGAGCAACAGTCTCGCTGTTCCTGCTGTCTTTTAAACAGCGTTCCAGTTCCTTCTGCACGAACTCCACCTGCTTAAACATCTCTCACCATCTTTTTTCAACCCGATATAAATCCTTACAGCGGTGCTGTCGGGTTTGATGAATTGCAGAAAACAATTGACTAAAAATATATATTAGATGATTTGTTTTTGTCTGACTGCAGCCAGCTCCATCTTTGTCAGTCTCATTCCCCGCTGTCACAAATAAGCAGCCGCCGGTGCAGCGCTCCCATCTGATGCTCGGCTTTCTAACCCGGCACTGCAGGGAGAAGGCTCATTACTAAAATTGGAAATCACGATCGAGATGTAATGTCTTTCTTGGTAAAGCTGCACCTAAAAAATGTGATCATTTGCTTGTGATAAACATAGATTTTCTTAGTTTTGATTGTGAACAATTAGCGTATAGTTTACAGATTTAAAGGGATGACTGAATGAACCGAGCTCACGCTGCAGAAGGCGTGGCATATATATGCAAACAATGATTCATTGACAGATTTTCTACTTTAAATTATGTAATAGAGTATTAATATTTATGCTTATTTAAGATGAGCTTCTCTATGAATGTGGTCACTGCGATAATAGATGAAACCATTCCCATTGGGATAAAGGTGGGGATACATTCACTGGTTTGTCCACTTAAAGGAGGACAAGTGAATCCTGTTTGTGCTTACATAATCTAGTCTCATCAGGGGTCTGCAGCTCTTTGGACCTTCAACACTGACTCGAATAACTTTGGCTAAAAATTGCTAAAACTAACTCATGTTTTTCAAGGGATACGTTGCGAATTTTTCATATTTTAAAATCATTTACTTGAACCAATATGATCCCACCACCCTCTGTGGTCAGAATACCGCCTTTGCAACTTCAGAGTGCCAGTCCGGTCCTGTAGACACTAATAAAGGTTGGGGAGACATTTCAGCTTTCAGATTTAGGTGTTAAGACGAACGCACAGCGAAGAAATAAACTTGTGCCTTCGGTTCTATCAATCGGACACTAGGGTGTGCTAAAAGAAAACCTAAATGGCCTAATCTCCCTTTAAAATGCAGGTTTAAGCAGTTTTTTAATGGAATTACTGGATTGAATTTCCATAACGGAATAACACTAAAAGTACCTGATATTTTAGAATTTTTTTTATCCGTTTCTCTTAATATCCCATAGAAAATACTTTAGCAAAAGTTTGACTTTCTTCAAAAAACATTAAACCCAATTTGAACATTCACACCGACTTTGGAGTGGAGTCTTATTTTTTCTGGAAGCTGCATGTGAATTGTCATGAAGTCAAATAAACATGAGCCAGACAGAAAGTTAGGCCTGAAACAGCGATATGCATCCAGTAAATGTCAAAATAAAAGCAGTGTTGCCCCCCCCCACCACCACCACCTTTTTCCCGTTAATAATGACGGGGAAATCGGTTCACAGAATTAGTATATCTTTAAACATCGTCGTCGTCGTCGTCGTCTTCCTCCGCTTATCCGGGTCCGGGTCGCGGGGGCAGCATCCCAACTAGGGAGCTCCAGGCCGTCCTCTCCCCGGCCTTGTCCACCAGCTCCTCCGGCAGGACCCCAAGGCGTTCCCGGACCAGATTGGAGATGTAACTTCTCCAACGTGTCCTGGGTCGACCCGGGGGCCTTCTGCCGGCAGGACATGCCCGAAACACCTCCCCGGGGAGGCGTCCAGGAGGCATCCTGACCAGATGCCCAAACCACCTCAACTGGCTCCTTTCGATCCGGAGGAGCAGCGGTTCTACTCCGAGTCCCTCCCGAATGTCCGAGCTCCTCACCCTATCTCTAAGGCTGAGCCCGGCCACCCTACGGAGGAAACTCATTTCGGCCGCTTGTATCCGCGATCTCGTTCTTTCGGTCATTACCCAAAGCTCATGACCATAGGTGAGGATTGGGACGTAGATCGACCGGTAAATCGAGAGCCTGGCTTTCTGGCTCAGCTCCCTCTTCCCCACGACAGATCGGCTCAGCGTCCGCATCACTGCAGACGCCGAACCAATCCGCCTGTCGATCTCCCGATCCCTCCTACCCTCACTCGTGAACAAGACCCCGAGATACTTAAACTCCTCCACTTGAGGTAGGACCTCTCCCCCGACCCGGAGGTGGCAAGCCACCCTTTTCCGGTCGAGAACCATGGTCTCAGATTTGGAGGTGCTGATCCTCATCCCAGCCGCTTCACATTCGGCCGCGAACCTACCCAGCAAGAGCTGAAGGTCAGAGCTGGATGAAGCTAGGAGGACCACATCATCCGCAAAAAGCAGAGACGAGATTCTCCTGCCACCAAACTCGACACACTCCACACCACGGCTGCGTCTAGAAATTCTGTCCATAAAAGTGATGAACAGAACCGGTGACAAAGGGCAGCCCTGGCGGAGTCCAACCCTCACTGGGAACAGGTCCGACTTACTACCGGCTATGCGGACCAAACTCACGCTCCTCTTGTAAAGGGACTGAATGGCCCTTAACAGAAAGCCACCCACCCCATACTCCTGGAGCGTCCCCCACAGGGTGCCCCTGGGGACACGGTCATAAGCCTTCTCCAAATCCACAAAGCACATGTGGATTGGTTGGGCAAACTCCCATGCCCCCTCCATCACCCTTGCAAGGGTATAGAGCTGGTCCACAGTTCCACGGCCAGGACGAAAACCACATTGCTCCTCCTCTATCTGAGATTCAACTATCGATCGGACCCTCCTCTCCAGTACCTTGGCGTAGACCTTTCCAGGGAGGCTGAGGAGTGTGATCCCCCTATAGTTGGAACACACCCTCAGGTCACCCTTCTTAAAGATGGGGACCACCACCCCGGTCTGCCACTCCCTAGGAACTGCCCCCGATGACCACGCAATGTTGTAGAGACGTGTCAACCATGACAGCCCTACAACATCCATAGCCTTGAGATACCCAGGACGAACCTCATCCGCCCCCGGGGCTCCGCCGCTGTGTAGTTGTTTGACTACCTCAGCAACTTCTGCCCCCGAGATCGGACAGTCCATCCCCAGGCCTCCCAGCTCTGGTTCCTCCTCGGAATGCGCATTGGTGGGATTGAGGAGCTCCTCAAAGTATTCCTTCCACCGTCCGACTATAGCCTCAGTTGACGTCAGCAGCTCCCCATCCCCACTGTAAACAGTGTGAGCGAGTTGCTGCCTTCCTCTCCTGAGGCGCCGGACAGTTTGCCAGAACCTCTTTGGAGCCGATCGATAGTCTTTCTCCATGGCCTCACCAAACTCCTCCCACGCCCGAGATTTTGCCTCGGCAACTGCCACTGCTGCACCCCGCTTGGCTATCTGGTACCTGTCTGCTGCCTCCGGAGACCCACAGACCAGCCACGCCCTGTAGGCCTCCTTCTTCAGCCTGACGGCTCCCCGAACCTCTGGTGTCCACCAGCGGGTACGGGGGTTGCCACCACGACTGGCACCGGCCACCTTACGACCACAGCTAGCAACAGCCGCCTCGACAATCGCAGAGTGGAACAAGGCCCACTCGGACTCAATGTCCCCCACTGCTCTCGGGACGTGGTCAAAGCTCTGCCGGAGGTGGGAGTTGAAGACCGTCTTGACAGGTTCTTCTGCCAGGCGTTCCCAGCAGACCCTCACTATGCGTTTGGGTCTGCCAGGTCTACGCGGCATGTTCCCTTGCCATCTGATCCAACTCACCACCAGGTGGTGATCAGTTGACAGCTCCGCCCCTCTCTTCACTCGGGTGTCCAAAACATACGGCCGCAGGTCAGATGATACGACTACAAAATCTATCATCGACCTGTGACCTAGGCTGCCCTGGTACCAAGTGTACCGGTGGGCATCCTTATGTTCGAACATGGTGTTCGTTATGGCCAAACTGCGGCTTGCACAGAAGTCCAATAACAAAACACCGCTCGAGTTCTGATCAGGTGGGCCGTTCCTCCCAATCACACCCCTCCAGGTCAAGCTGTCATTGCCCACGTGAGCATTGAAGTCCCCCAGCAGGACAATGGAGTCCCCTGATGGAGCACTATCTAGCACTCGTCCCAGGGACTCCAAAAAGGGTGGGTACTCTGAACTGATATTTGGCCCATAAGCACAAACAACAGTCAGGACCCGTTCCCCGACCCGAAGGCGCAAGGAAGCTACCCTCTTGTCCCCCGGGGTAAACCCCAACACACAGGCAGAGAATCTCGGGGCTAACAAAAAGCCAACCCCAGCCCTCCGCCTCTCACCCGGAGCAACTCCAGCAAAGTAGAGTGTCCAACCCCTCTCCAGGTCTCGGGTTCCAGAGCCAATGCAATGTGTCGAGGTGAGTCCGACTATATCTAGCCGGTACCGCTCAACCTCTGCCACAAGCTCCGGCTCCTTCCCCACCAGCGAGGTGACGTTCCATGTCCCAAAAACTAGTTTCCTTGTCCGGGGATTGGACCGCCAAGGCTCCCGCCTTGGTCTGCCACCCGATTCACATTGCACCGGACCCTTCATGTTCCTCCTGCGGGTGGTGAGTCCACAGTTGGACGAGCCCATGTATCCGGTTCGGGCTGGGCCCGGCCGGGCCCCATGGGCGAAAGCCCGGCCACCAGGCGCTCGCTCACGGGCCCCAACCCCAGGCCTGGCTCCAGGGTGGGACCCCGGTAACCCTCCGGGCCGGGTACTCCGACTCTTCGTTTTCACCGCCATGAAAGATCCTTCG